TTTTTTGGTTTTTCTCTGGTACCAGGAACCGAACTCACGACCTTGCGCTTGCCAGGCAGGCGCTTTTGCCGCTGAGCTAAATCCCCAGCCCCTTATTTTTTATGTTAATATTTGAAATTTTCCATTTTATTCTGAAAAATTAAAGACATCATAATGTGAAAAGTTGAAATACTGTAGCTGTCTCACTTGGCTCTACATTCCTAACCAAACTGCAAATGTTTGGGTCCATCTATCTATGTATCAACTACTAGCAGAGATTGTTTTGAAATTTAACCAATGTATCAGTGCAAAATTGCATTATGAATTACAGGTTCAATGGGTTTGTTTTTCCACTCACTTTGAACCTAAATTGTTCTTATTTTGATTCCTTGTGTGGATGACGTATAGCCTCACAGAATAAAAGTGTGCCATCATGATTAAAGCTGAGTTGAAGTTTGTTGTTCAGTCATGAAATGCATGTTCATAAAAAGCTTTGGTGGCATAACCATATGTTGGAAGACTGATTACTATAATTACAGAAAAGTTAGCATACCAGCAGTTTATTCTTTTTTGCTTTTTTTCTTTATACACAGTCTCACTGTGTAGCCCAAGCTGGCCTTGAACTCACTATGTAGCACAGGCTGGCCTCAAACTCGGAGCCATCTTCCTGCCTTGGCCTCCTAAGTGCTGAGATTATTGCATGCACTCCCATGCCTGGCAGCACCAATCCATTCTATACTTATGTGGTCATGTAATTACTACAAAAATCTTCCTTTTACCTTACTCTAGATCCTTACAACCTAAAATGTCACTCCTGTATTTTAGAATTGTGTTTAAACTTTTATGGAATTTATTAGCCACTGGTCCCTCATTAACACCTGTAGTAGTTTGGATTTATGAGCAAAAGAAGAATATTCCCTATAGAATCTTTATTACAATATCTCCAGAGGGAAAGTAGCCATAATATAAATGATAGGTTAAACCCTGACATGAGTCCCAAATACCAGTGATGAGTTTGCTTTTATTGACTGCTGCAGTCAGTTGGTTGGATCGTTTTCTGTTCTTCTTGCTGAAAAATTTTCTCGGTAATCTTATCTATTTTTCAAAGTGATATATTTTTTATTTTGATATTAATTAAAACATAATTTAAATTTGTTCGGTTTAATATCCACATGTGATTTTTTGCTTAGCTGGTTAGTGCTATTTTTCTTGAGGGAGTAAAAACTTGAGCTATTTTTTGAAAAGAAAATCTTGTATAGCACCTTTAGGATAAATTATGGATGAGGATGTAAATCATAACTAGTAAGCATGGTTGAATTCTGGTCAATTTCCCTTAGAAATTAATATTAAAAATATATCCCTCGTGCTGATTCTCACTATGTATATCATGCTTATAATCAACATTTATTCCAAGTAATCATACAAATCATGTGGGTAGATTACACTTCATTGGAACTTCTTTAACTCTCAACTAAAGGAAGTACTAGTCTTTCAGATTAAGGAGGCAGGGGTTTAGAAATTCCATCTAAATAATACATTATTGATGAAATATCACATTTATATTTCTAATCAGACCATAAATATATAAGATATAGCTATATTTGTATAAGAGATTGTTCATGTAAATATAAGTTCCCTCACAATGCAAAAAAATTCCTCATTCTATTGATCAAGACAATAAATTTTATGGAACAAGATGAACCAACTGCAAAACTTAGGCAAAATTTGTTGTAATTTTTGATGTATACATATTGATTATATAATGAGAAAAAACATATGCATATAAGTTAGATTATAACCATTTCATACAGTTCTTAATTTTACACAGTCAAGTTTGTTAAGTATGAGCAAAAATTAAAATGAGTATTTATTATATAAGTTAATATTTAATACTTAAGAAAATACTTTATGTAATATTCATATTTGTGCTTTTATTTTGAAAATGTTTATATGCAGAGATGCAGACAAAAATTTAATATTTCTCCATAATCATAAACATAAAAAAACTAAGAGCTGATGTGACAATTGGTTTTTGTTTCAGTAATTGTTATTTAGTCATTAAACTTTATATAAGCTGCATGGTGTACAAGCACTTTGTCATTATTATGAAAATTTCCTTTCTTATCTTGCAACTTTTGAAGAGATTGTAAAAAAAGTTAAATTTCCCAATTTATGGCACAAACCTAGTAGTGCTTAAGGAGATAAGAGTAACCCCCTCACCCCCATCCTCAGTAATATTACAGATCTTATTTACATCTTATGAGAAGAAAATGAAAGGAGAAAGTAACTACATGTCATTTGTGTAAATAAATCATTATGTGTCATTTGTATTATTTGCATTTTCACTATGCAAAGAAAGCATTGTATGTTTCCCCCAGAGTATATTAGGTCTGTAGAGTATACCTTTCCATTTTATTTTCAAGCCAAATTGTGTATATGAATTTGCTATCATATACATGCAATTTAAAAGAAAATGTTTTCAAAGTGACCAAAAAAATTCAAGAGTATTGATGTTCAGAATTTCAATTAATTTCTTAAGCTTTGCAATTGTTTAATGCAAAGGGTTGCTAAGGCAAAAGCTAATTTTCACATTTTAATAATATGATTTTGAACTTACAGAGACATTTTCTGTTGGTACTTTGAACAGTTAACATCATTTATACAGTCCTTCAGCCTATTATCTATTTATCAATCCCACTTGTATAATTCCTAGTATTTTTAAAAGTTATGTACAGAGAATATGCACATAAATGATCTATAATAATCTATGTGATACAGAAATATATGATATATAATACAAAATATGTATAGTATATAGCCCAAAATATATCATAGACAAGCTCAGCCTCCAAAGATATCAGTATTGCTGGTGTACAAAAATTACACAGTGGAGTGACATGAGACACAACAAGCCAAGTCCCCACAAGGATGAGAGAACACCATCAGCAGCTCTCACTGAACTATAAAGCCCCAAACAATGAGGAAAACTAAAAACGATAAAGGAGATGACTTGTCACGGATCTCTCTAGCACTAAGAGGGTACCCTCTATTGAAGATCAGAGGATAATTATGTCAAGAAATACCGTGAGTACAGTAGGTAAGTCCCAAAATTTGTAAATAGAGTCAGAGTTGTTTTCCAAGTATTTCTCAGAGGCAGGTTGTGGTTGCCACTCTAACCCAGGCTTGCTGATTTCTTTCCTCAAGAAAGACCCCAGTGGAGAGAGGAGATGGGCGTCTACAATGTCACCACGGTGACTCAGTTCATCCTCATCGGGCTGTCTGACCTCCCTGAGGTGCGCTACCCTCTCTTTGT